TGAGATAAGGGTGCAAAAGCAAACTAACAATGTCTCTTGTTACTAGATTTGCCCGTTACTTTGGGGTATGCTAATTTATTAGGGTTACTCTTCTGGGTGGGAGGGGAGTTCTGTAATTCTATCAATGTACTGCTTGTGTCACTTATGTTGTCATATGGAGCTCTACTTCTCCCTTCTGCAAGTTCCCTCCCAATGGAGCTATCTTGTAGGACCTAGGTTCCCCAAGGCTGGGCTCTTCCAGCCCCAGAATCAGATGAGAACGAACACACACACACACAGAGCACGCGTCTGTGAGGACCAGGTTAATCGGCACTCCCAAGCTGACCCCTTATATGTCCCTGGACTCAGTAGGCTGGGTCAAGCAGCACCTCCAAGCTGTCACCCTCATATGCCATGAGCACTGCACTGGAATAGAGTACGTGTGAGCAGGCTGGGATTGAGCAACACTTCCAAGCTGCCACCCTCATATGCCCCTGGACTCAGCACGTCCCTATCTCCACTTTCATGTTAAAATTGTTCTGGTAGTAACCCATTTGATGAGCAAACCCACAGGATTTTTGAGCGCTTCAGGGATCTTTAGCTTAGGTATGAGGAGCATTGCTGCAGAGCAAAGGGGGAAGCAAAAAAAAACACCTGCGGGGCCAGGGGGGAGAAGAGAGAGAGAAGCAACCAGCTTAACTATGAAAATTATTTATTTCCAGGTAATAACCATACAAGGGGAGCCAAACAAACGAAACAGTTATAATATTAAATCTAACTTAAATTTGATTATAAAAGTCAGGTTTAGAAAACTATAGCTGATCACACTAGTCAGGGTCAGAAGGCTATACTGAGAGAGAGCTGGATTCTCAACACGCTGTGAAGCTTGAATGGATCAGGGGTCTCAGCTGGTGGTGATAGCTGAGGGTCCGGAGTGCTAGAGACAGGCAGAGCCCCCAGCCTGATCAGTGAGGAGAAGATGAAGTCCTAACGGAACTGATGCAGATTTTGGATCCAGGCTTCAGAGAACTTGCTTGAGCATGGGTAGGGGTTTTTGTAGGGAAAGAACAATGGTTCAAGGGAGAACACTAGATTTGTTTATGGGTAAACTGGTGGCTCAAGGGAGTATATCAAAGTTGTTTTGTTCAGGCTAGACAATAGGAAACGATCATTCCTGGCTATGGGCAGTGTTCCTTCAAGGGAGCTCACAATGCAATTAGGCATCTTCAGTATTTTGGATACCAATAAAGGATTTATTACTAGAATTGGTCTGATAAATATTAAGCTGGGTGTGTGCAGGCATGGGTTTATTAACATCTGGAGCAGAGATCCCCCATCATGCAGTGCTTTCCCTGCTTTTCTGGTCCCAGAGTTCAGTGCGGTTCTTGCCTTGGAATCGCTGTTCTCCATTCTGTATGCTAATGGAGATGCCTCCCTGTCCCATCTTCGATGCAAATGAGGCTAGGGGAGTTGCCTTAATCCTGTCACCCTTGTCCGGAGGGATTTAGGTGTGTCTTCCACCGCATTTTCAGTACTTTTCATAAGTCTTTCTTCTGATCAGCTGTGGTTCAAGCAGAGGCTGGGGGGAGGGGGGACAGGGGGAGAGAAGGGAGGTCTTTTGTGAATCAGACAGTCTGAATACTGCTCCCTGGTTCTCCAAGAAGACAGAACTGATACGTAACACTCTTTGAAAAATTTCTAACTGTCTTCTATAGTTGTTCCCCTTAGACTTGCTTCCCATGGGATCTTTGTTAAAGTCTGCCTTCTTGAAATCCATTGTCTTTATGTTGCTGCTCTCCCTCCTACCATTCGTTAGAATCATGAACTCTTATAATTTCATGAAGCAACAGAGGGTCCTGTGGCACCTTTGAGACTAACAGAAGTATTGGGAGCATAAGCTTTCGTGGGTAAGAACCTCTACTTCTTCAGATGCAA